GCCGGCCGGCCGCCCGCCGGCGCTGTGTCCCGCCTGAGCTCCGGGCCGCCCGTCTTGCCGCCCGACTCCTTGCCCCCACGGCTCCACGTGCCCCTCGCCGCCGTCCGCTGGGGTTTCCGAGCGCCCCCAAACCACGCAGTTGATTTGCAGGCATCTGCCAGGGTCTCCTCAAGCTGCGCCACACTCGGGACAGGCCCCGGGGCCCTCCGCAGCGCTGGCGCTGAGCTGATGACGCAATGCGTCCGGCCCCCACGGGGCGGATCCACTGGAGAACGCCACCTGACTCGAGTGACGTTCGCGCCCCTTTTTCTTTCTTAGACGCGGAGAAGGAGGTTCGTTCCGCCAGAAACAGCGTACGTGCAGGAGCCGGGGGTTTCAACTCGTGATGAAGAGGAAACGGAGGTCCCGGGCGGGTCCAGCGGTAAGAGAACAGAGTTGTGTATAATAATAGCAGTCGTAGTTATATATTCGGAGGGTTAATTTTACCTGAGGCTCTTTTTCCCAATCAGGTTCTTTATTCTTTACAAAGCAGGCATTTGGCGCGGCGAGGTAAGTATGTTCTTACCCCGCGTTTACAGGTTAGGTAATTAAGGCTCTGAGAGCCCAACTCTCTTGGGCACAGCTGAGAAGTGGTCAAGTCAGAATTGGAACCCACGTTTGTGCTCCTTCCATTACACCAACTACCTGCCCAAGGACCTTGTACGAGCTGTTGGCAGATCACCTCTTCATTCGTTCAGTTATGTACTGAGCATCACCGTGTACCAGGCCAACTCAACACTTGGGAAAAATTGGAGCAAGAGTCGGTACCTACTCAGTGGATCTTAATTTCAGGAAAGCTAAGCAGCAAATAAACGGGGAAACAAGAGTTTGTAGGTGCCAAGAAGAAAGTTTACAGGATGCTGAGATAAGAGAATAACTGGATGTGGGGACTTTTCCTAGTAGATGGTCAGGGAATGGGGTAACACTGAAGCTGAGACCTCAGAGAAATGAGAAGGAGCTGACTGTTGCAAATCTGAGGAGGAGATTTCTGGGCGGATGGAACAGCAGGTGCAAAAATCTTAAGATGGAAATAAGCTAAATATGTTCAAGGACCAGCAGAATGTTCATTGTAGTTGGAGCAGAGCAAGTAGAAGGAGAAAATGACAAAGAATGAGGTTGGAGAGGTGGACAGAGGCTGTATCATACACCCTAGGGTCATGGTAATGACTTTAGATTTTATTCTATGTAATTGGAAGGTTTTAAACCAAAGAGTGATGCGAACAAAGTTATGTTTTGAAAGATCATTCTGCTAGATAGAGAAATATGGGCAAGCAAAAGTGGACACACGGAGAGTTATTAAGAGGCTATTGGAATAATCCAGATGAGAGATTATTTTGATGCTTAAACTCAGGTAGTGGCAGCAAAGATGGAGTAGATGGATTTATGGTATGTTTTGGGAGTAGAGTTGACAGTATTTCCTGAAGGATTTGATATGGAACGTGAGAATAAAAAATGAGGGCGCCTGGGTGGCTCAGTCATTAAGTGTCTGCCTTTGGCTCAGGTCATGATCCCAGGGTCCTGGGATTGAGCCCCACATCGGGCTTCCTGCAAGGGAGGAAGCCTGCTTCTCCCTCTCCCACTCCCCCTGCTTGTGTTCCTGCTCTCACTATCTCTCTGTTAAATAAATAAAATCTTAAAAAACAGAAGAAAGAAAGAAATCAAGAGTAACTTCTCTGAGTCTGGCTTCAGCAACTGGAGGGACAATGGTGCCGTTCAGTGATTGACGGACTTGATGCAGGTGAAGATGGGGAATGCATGTTTTTTTCTGTCGAGGATAATTTGAGGATTTTGTGTGATTTACCAGAGGATAAGTCAAGTAATTGGATATATGTTGTGGTACGGATGTAGTTGTCCTCTTTGTCGGCCATACGCCTACTGTACATTCCTCAGCCCCCTTAAAGTAGGTGTGGCCATGTGCCTGTGCTCTCCCCAATGGAAAGTGAACAGAAGAGATGTGCACAGTTTCCAGGCTCGGCCCAGAAAATTTGTCAACAGGTGCTCTTACTTACTCTGCCAGCTGGACGATGATGAGAAGGTTCTGGAGAAGGCAAGGCTCCAAGATGGAAGATTCCTGAGTAGAGGAGAACCGCTGCTCCATTGACTTATATATCCACCTAGGACTGTTACATGAGAAAAAAATAAACTTTTATTGTTTTGAACTTTTATGTATTTGATTCTTTTTGTAATAGCAGCTTTGCCTGTGCTAACACAAATAAGAGCAGTGATCCAGCAGTGAACTTTGCGAGAAAATTTCTGAATGAATTGACATTATCCATAACGTAAAGAAATAAAAGGTGCCTTGGATTTATTCATTCATTGATTCCATGATAATTTATCAGGTGCCTCTCTGTGCCGGGCACTGTGTTTACGTAATAGAAATCAGAGATGAAGAACTCATACACTGAGTCTGGCAGCTCAACTTACTGGCTGTTATCTGCATGCGCTTTCCCTCTACCTGAAAACAATCTCCCCTCCCAACACACACACAGCCTAATTTCTACATGTTCTTCAACCACATTCTAAATACCGTTTTAGGGGCACCGGAGTGGCTCAGTCGGTTGAGCAGCCGACTCTTGATTTTGGCTCAGGTCATGATCTCAGGGTCATGGGATGGAGCCCCATATTAGGCTTTGGGCTCAGCGCAGAGTCTGCTTGAGATTCTCCCTCCCTCCAGCTCACGCGCTCTCTCTCTCTCAAATAAATAAAATCTTTAAAAAAAAAAAATATTATCAGAAAGACATGCCTAATTCTTATCCCTAATCTAAGTCAGATATTCCTGTTGTCTCATAACTTACTTTCTTGTATTTACCACAGTTTTTATTTATGTATTTATTTGTTTGTTATTCTTTAGTGTTCTCTCCCCAACTAGACTGTAAATAATCTCAAGGGAAAGAATCTTACGTATTACCGGCCACATCCTCAACACTTAACCCACTGCAGGTGTTTAATAAATATTTTCTGAAGGAATCAGTGAATGGAGAAGGCAGAGCCCAGAGGAAGGAGGAGTTTCCTCCATTTTTTGCTGGGGAGGTGGCTGTGGTAGGCAGCCTCTAAGGTAGCCATCCATGATGCCCACCTCTAGGTATTCATTATCTTGTGTAATCCCTTCACCCTGCTTGTGGGCTGATCTAGGGACTTGCTTCTGATAATGAAATGTCATGTCTCAGATTACATTACAGAAAGACTTTGTCTTTCATCTTGGGTGCCCTCTCTTACTCTCTTCCTCATTTGCTCTGAAAGAAGCCAGCTCAAATGTGAGATTCTTTGTTAGTTTCCTGGGGGCTGCCATAATAAATTACCATAAACTGGGTGACTTAAAACAACAGAAATTTTATTTTCTCACAGTTCTGGAAGCCAAAAGTCTGAAATCCATGTATTAGCAGGGCTGTGCTCCCTCTGAAGGCTCTAGAGGAGAATCCTTCCTTACCTCTTCAAGCTTCTGGTGGCTCTCAGCAGTCCTCAGCATTCCTTGGGCAAAAGGGGTGCATTACTCCAGTCTCTGCCTCTGTCTTCACATGGCCTTCTTCTCTGTCCTTTCCTCTTATGGAGACACTATCATTGTACCCTAATCCAGTATGATTTTATCTTAATTACATCTGCAAAGACGCTGTTTCTAAGTAAGTTCACATTCTGAGGTTACATGTGGACATGAATTTGGAGGGCAGGATACTAATCAAGCCACTATAGTTGCCTAGTAGAGGGGCCCACATGTCAAAGAACTAATGTCTCTTGCCAACTGCCAGTGATAACCTGAGACTTGCCAAAGGCCACATAAATGACTTTAGAATGGATCCTCCCCCGGTTGAGCCTTGAGATGATTGCAGCCTTCTGTCCCAGGAAGAGGCACCCAGCCAAACTGTGCCCAAATTCCTGACGCACAGAAACTGAGATAACAAATGTTGTTTTTAGGACACTGAATTTGGGAGCAATTTGTCACGCAGCATAGATAAACTAATACGGATTTTGGTGCCTGGAAGTGGGATGCTGCCATAACAACTAGCTAAAATGTGGGAGTGGCTTAGAACCAGGCAGTGGGCAGAGGCTGGAAAGATTTTTTTTTTTTTTTTTTAAGATTTTATTTATTTATTTGACAGAGAGAGAGCGAGAGAGGGAACACAAGCAGGGGGAGTGGGAGAGGGAGAAGCAGGCTTCCCACCGAGCAGGGAGCCCGATGCAGGGCTCGATCCCAGGACCCTGGGATCATGACCCGAGCCGAAGGCAGATGCTTAACGACTGAGCCACCCAGGTGCCCCGAGGCTGGAAAGATTTTGAGGAGTGCATTAGAGAAAGCCTACATTATCCTGAACAAACTTAGTAGGAATCTGTACTTCTCAGTACCAAAATCTGTCTTCGTCAGCTTGGGCTGCTATAACAAAATACCATAGACTGGGCATCTTAAAAATAGACATTTATTCCTCACAGTTCTGGAGTCTGGGAAGTCCAAGATCAGCGTGTGGGCAGATTTGATTCCTGGAAAGGCCTTCTTCCTGTCTTGCAGATGACCACCCTCTTGATGTGTCCTTCACATGGTGGAGGGAAAGCCACCTTGAGTGTCTTCTTTTTCTTATAAGGACACTAATCCCATCATCCTCGTGACCTCATCTAAACCTGATGACAACCCAAAGGCCCCACCTCCAAATAGCATCACAGTGGGGGTTGGAGCGTCAACATATGAATTTGGTGGGGAACATAACATGGCCTAAAGGTAAAGTAGAAGATG